CTGCAGGTCATTCACTAGATCCCCCCTTGTGGTTCTGGGATTTTTCCTCACCGTTCTTGTGATCATTTTGACCCCACGACCCCACCATTATTTGCAAAACAATTCTTTAAAAGTCAGACAAAATGATTTTCTCAATTTTTTTCACATTTTGTCTCTCATAGTTGAGGTCTACCTATGATGTCAATTACAGGCCTCTCTCATCTTTTTAAGTGGGAGAACTTGCACAATTGGTGACTGACTAAATACTTATTTTCCCCACTGTATCGCGAGATTATTGCAAATGTGATTAATCGTTCAGCCCTAGCACCAATTCAATTTTTTCACTTCTGTTGTCAGTACAGATATTGGAAATTTTGTATTGGCCGATACTGACCCAACACCAGAAAACAGTGCTGAATTGACTAAACAGTTCTTTCTTATTTTTTTATACATAGACATAATTGTACTAAATTAAATTTTTCTTTGATCGCTGTGCACTAGTGCATCAATTTTAAACAAACCAATAGCTTCACAAGCTTAGTCAAACATGTAAAAAACAACTTCACCTTGTTCAGTCAGCACAATTAGGAGTATAATAATAAATAAATGAACTGAAACTGAGAAAAAAACAGTAGTTTGACTGCTTTGGTTAAAAATAAAAACAAACTGGAAAATCCCTCCTTTCAAATGGTTCAGTCAGTGCACTCAGTAATTCAAAATACAATGTGAAACACGTCATTTTGACATCTTTTGTTCTCTAATATGTGTTTCACACTTAACTGTGCAGTTCCGGTAGAGCCGTTTTCAACAAATATTTTCGGCTTTCTACATCATAGCGTGGCCCCAGACAGTTAATTATCAGCCATTGTGTTGGCTGAAGTAGAGTGAAGAGCTTCCAGATGGCTGATCCTTTGGCTCACGCCATTTTGAAAATGTGAGCCTCTGCGCTGCGTGTTACTAGTGCATGACATCATAGCAAAGAACTAGACTGAATGGATCGGGCCCATTGTCACGATACCCATTCTAGAATTTTTTTTCAATATCAGGAATGATACCAATATTACGGTAATATTGGATCAGTGCGTCTTTAGTAAAAATGTATATTTGTTTTTGAGTTGTTTTTTTTTAAAGAGTTCTGACTTTCTCAGAGTTTAGAATTTTGGCTTTATTTTCTGAATTCTGGCCCTCTTCTGTACAGAGGTCTGGGTACAGACTATGTACAACTTTTTATTTGCTTAGCTTAGACACTTTTGATCAATATTAAAATCACAGTCATCTAATTTGTTTACTCATAAACTCATAGGAGACATTGCAGAWACGTGAGCATGCAAAGCGGAATGAGGCAGAATAAGTTTGATAAWTGTTTTGTTGGCACTGTTTTGGTGATCATTTGGAACCAAAATTCTACCTATAAATTACCATGTATACTATAAAGTTTCAAGTAAATACCTGATACTTGAACCTATTTTCCAAATACTTGTATTCTGACACGGCTTAACTAATGGGATTTTCAGGCTGTAGTGTGTTTCGRTCCCTTGACAAACAAAAGAATGAAGTTTTTTTTACACAGAGTACAAATCTTTAAATGTGTTTTTGTCCTGTTTTCTACCGGATGCCTGCAGATGGTACCATGGAGCCCTGAGCCGCTCAGAGGCAGAGTCTCTGCTGACTCTGTGCAAGGAGAGTTCCTACCTGGTGAGGAACAGTCAGACGTGCCGCGATGACTACTCTCTCTCCCTCAGGTACTCCCTCTTGCATAATTTTCTCACCTCGTTTACTTTATAAAACAGTTATTCTGTGTGAATTCAGAGAGTCACTTGTATGTTTTTACTTCCAATCTAAACAAAAACTGTTTTTTTTTAATCTGACTAAAAACCCAAATATGTGGAAAGTATTTAATGCACGAAATTTGGTTTTGCATTTAACAAATATGACACGTATCCAGTGTTTTCATGCAAAATTATTTTTGACACGGAAATGTGTGTTTTATAGAATTGGAGGAAATAAATGTAAAAGCAAAAAATGGCACATTTATTACTTTATAACAGACCGAGTCATACATGGAAGATTACTGAAAAGGTTTGTAATATATTTGAGAGATTCTGCTAGGGCA